GTTTAATCATGTATTTTCTTATGCACCATAGAATTTTTGTAAAAATGGGTTGATTTATCAATGCCATGCTCATACTGTGCCGGAACAACTGCTGCTTTTTCTTTCCTCATCCTTTCTGTTATCAATTTTCCTCTACTTCTTTTGCATGTTTGTCACTCTCTTATGAACTGCTATTTCCGGGGTGCCTTGATAGTCAAAGCAGACTGCGTTCGCTTCTCATTCGAAGGTCCCGGATTCGAATCCGGATAGAGACGGAAACATTTTCTTTCAGCCACACCCCTGATCTTCTGGTAGGAAAGATCTACCCTAGCCTTCTCGGACAAGGGCGAAAGATCTCGGAGGTCCTGTGTGCAAGTTGCGCTAGTTAAAGATCCCTTGGGGGTCTAAAATTGATCAGAGTAGGTTTATTCGGCCGCCACCCAGGCAAGATTCAAAATTTTCTACCAACTGAAATGTTTAATATTAAGTGACGCGCACTCATAATATAATGACTTTATGCAGTTGCGAGCGCCGTAGAACACTTACCAAAAAAAAACAACAAAGAAAGACGGGAACATCTCCTCTCTCTCTCTCTCTCTCTCTCTCTCTCTCTCTCTCTCTCTCTCTCTCTCTCTCTCTCTCTCCCAGACTCTCTCTCTCTCTCCCAGACTCTCTCTCACTCTCTCAGACTCTCTCTCTCACTCTCTCTCTCTCAGACTCTCTCTCACTCTCTCTCTCTCTCTCGATCTCTCTCTCTCTCTCCCCTCTCTTTCTCTACCCCCCTCTCTCTCTATACCCCTCCCCCTACTCTCATTCTTTGTCTGTTTGTCTGTCTGTCTGTAGCTGCGGAAATCGAAGTCATATACTGCTTCCGACTTTTTGTTTATCGTAAAAATCGACCTTGCTTGATTGTGCACACTAATTACAAATGGTTATACAACGGAGGTCTCTGCTATCGACAGCAATGAGTCAGACTTATGGAACAGAAGAGAGAGATAGAGAGAGAGAGAGAGAGAGAGAGAGAGAGAGAGAGAGAGAGAGACAGAGACAGAGAGAGAGAGACAGAGAGAGAGAGACAGAAAGACAGACAGACAGATGAGGGAGAAGGGGGGGAGGGGGGGAGGGGTTGTGGACATTTGCTAATTCGCTCTTGTATGCCATTACAGTGACCACAACGATAGGTGAGTTTGGACACAAAGAGGTGGGGTGAGTGGGAGGGGGAGAAGGAGATGAAGGAGGGGAGGGGGGGGAGTACTGTGGACTTCTGAAGTTCTTTTT